AAACATTTAAAAAAAAAAAAAAAAAAAAAAAAAAAAAAAAAAAAAAAAAAAAAAAAAAAAACATGGCCAGGAGATGAGGGGAGCAGCCACACATGGTCAGGTGATGAAGGGTATTAGCCATACATGGTCAGGTGATGAGGGGAGTAGAAAACACACTTGGTCAGGAGATGAGGGGGGTAGCCAACACACTTGGTCACGAGATGAGGGGAGTAGCCACACATGGTCAGGTGATGAAGGGTATTAGCCTTACATGGTCAGGTGATGAGGGGAGTAGAAAACACACTTGGTCAGGAGATGAGGGGGGTAGCCAACACACTTGGTCACGAGATGAGGGGAGTAGCCACACATGGTCAGGGGATGAGGGGAGTAGCCAACACACTTGGTCAGGAGATGATGGGAGTAGCCGACACACTTGGTCAGGAGATGAGGGGAGCAGCCAACACACTTGGTCAGGTGATGAGCTCAGTAGCCAACACACTTTGTCAGGTGATGAGAGGAGTAGTCAACACACTTGGTCAGAGTAGTGGATGCGGGGAGAGCTATGTACAGGTTGCTATATTGTATTCACAACAATATAAGGGTTCAACTATCAAGGAAAATGGGGCTTATTCCCCAACGCCCACCTGTATATATATATATTTATCCTTTGCAAAGTTCACCATTAATTCCACACCAAGACTGCAGGGAAATATCCAGAAGTCCAGATAATCATGGCCAGATTGAACCATAGAGGCAAGGCAGATTCACATAACATTTAAAGTTACAGGTATGGAGTTTTACTTTATCAGAATTCAATAAATGAGAAACTGCTATCACACTATTTCAGCCAATTAAGGTTAGAAGTAAGTCATAATAAGTTTTAATAAGGCTGAAAAGTAAAGCTTAACCTACCAAAAACACATATCCATTTTAAAACTAATTCAAATATATGTATTTTTTATTATTACACTTATACATCTCCGAAATGTTTTCTTGGTGTCATCTCAGAAACTGTTGAAAAAGAGATCTGCATAAACAAAAAGTCGTTTCATCGTTTACTTAAAGACACATTATAAGGAAGCACCAGTTCACAGCTCAATGAAGTGGAACGAATCACAAAAAAAAAACAAGGTCATCACGTCTTGTTTGTGTCCTTGATGTCTAGAGAATTCTTCTTGGTTCCCGAACTCTCCCCATTACAGGTTGTAACAATGGCGTCTTTCTTGCCGAACATGGCGCCCAGCCTTTTGGACATGTTCACCAGCGAGCTCTTCCGGCGCTTCAGCGCGCCATTCCTCTGGTGGTGCGCAATCCTTGCTTCCCGCAGCAAAGACTGGAACGCCAGAGAAATCCCCACAGGGTTCTCCGCGGCGGACACCTCGAAGTGCATGCACCCATGTTCTATGGCGGCCTGGAAAAATCAAGTCGACAACCCAATTATAATTATATTTAGAAAATATTCAGTGACTACGATTTTGATCAATTCTAACGTCATGATAGCAATCAATGCGGTCAATAGAATATTGCATTTCCAAACCTTGTTCATGACATTGTTCCTCATGTGGATATCATCAGGAGTGAATCTACATGCACTGTTATGCTGCAAGATTTTAAAAGAGTTCAAACTCCCGTACGGGTGCACGAACCTTGTGACCTTCATCGGCCCCCACTTCCCGGACGTGCTCAAGGTCGGTCTTGTTGCCTAGCAACAGCGTCGGGACGCAGGCGGACATCTTGACTCTAGAGATCGTCTCCAAGAGGGACTTCGCTGTGAGGAACGAGGACCTGCTGAGGACGCTGTACACTACGACGAAGGCATCAGCCCAGCTGGACGTGGTCTCCTCGACGTCGGGTGTCTGACTCTGTGGAGGAAATGACGTTAAAGCACCCCGTCATTCAAATAATGAAGTGAATTAACGTAAGGGAAAAGAGGGGGGGGGGAGTTGTGGATGTGTGGAGCGTTGGAATCGAGAAAATGGATGTTCCATTGAGTTTTACAAGACATTCCTTTCAAGAAGCTTATGGGCAAACATTTCTTCCGGGAGCAGAGGCCCCGGATATTTACGGGACTTAAAGTCGTAGTGTGAAGACAAATTATCACCAGAACAGAAAAGCCGCCGGTGACCTCCAAAAGTCATGTGTCGGCCATGTTGTAAACAGGTAGACCAGTGTTGTACAATAAAGACCCTGTTGTACAGAGATAGACAATGATGAACTTAAGAGGCTCTGTTGTAAAGATGTAGACAGTGATGTACTTAAGAGGCTCTGTTGTAAAGAGCTAGACAGTGATGTACTTAAGAGAATCTGTTGTAAAGAGGTAGAGAGTGATGTTCTTAAGAGGCTCGGTCGTAAAGAGGTACACAATGATGTTCTTAAGAGGCTCTGTTGTAAAGAGGTAGACAGAGATGTTATTAAGATCAGAAATGGCTGAGAATATTGCAAGAGACTGGAAGGTGAGGAAATATATTGTAATTTTCCTTAGCTCCAGTGGGAATCAGACGTTCCAAAATATGGTGTGTAGTCATAAATATGGTGTGTAGTCATAAATATGGTGTGTAGTCATAAATATGGTGTGTAGTCATAAATATGGTGTGTAGTCATAAATATGGTGTGTAGTCATAAATATGGTGTGTAGTCATAAATATCGTCATAAGCAGAGACCACTACGATACCTTTTTTAAAAACAATACCCCTTTTTGCTCACAACCATCCATTTGAAACCATTCACATTCATAGTAATGATATTCATAAATCTATTGATACAAACGAAACGAAATCACTTGTAGCAATTAGCGACGCAATATCTAAGATTAAGTAACAACAACATGAACAACAACAACAACATGAACAACAACAACATATTTTAAACATTACGCCATGCCCAAACATTATATTACTAGACGTCTGATGTATATTTATGAAAACTACCATCAGCCCCATCAGTACATTGCTACATGTCTGATGTATATTTATGAAAACTACCATCAGCCCCATCAGTACATTGCTACATGTCTGATGTATATTTATGAAAACTACCATCAGCCCCATCAGTACATTGCTACATGTCTGATGCATATTTATGAAAACTACCATCAGCCCCATCAGTACATTGCTACATGTCTGATGTATATTTATGAAAACTACCATCAGCCCCATCAGTACATTGCTACATGTCTGATGTATATTTATGAAAACTACCATCAGCCCCATCAGTACATTGCTACATGTCTGATGTATATGAAAACTACCACGTGTCCCATTAATACTTGACCAGCTATCCCATGTCTATCTATGTTGCAACACACGTGCCCCCTCAACTGATGGCTTAATGGGGTGTCGCACGAGTTCGATGAATAAAAGATGCCTCCTATGTGCGGGCCGTGGGAGGGCGATCATGGGGGCTAGAGGAGGGGTGAGTCTGGGAGTGGAGTGGGGGGGGGGGTGGGGAATTGTTTGCAGAAACTTTATAAAACTATTAGTGCATTGTCAGACCAAAGGGTCACGTGGTGCAAACATACGGGCGTGTCCTCCAGCATTCTTGTTAAGGAAAACTTACACGCGCTATATTTTAATGGAATAAAAGCAAATATGTTTTCAAGGGACCCTAGCGCACTTGCTAATTTATTTTTTAAATACCAAAGTCTCCAATTTCTAACGTTGACTTGTTTCTTTAGTAATCAAGCCATTTTTCTACGCAGCAGCTCACCTGCCTATTGCATGTATCTAGTATCTCCAACTCACCTGCCTACAACATGCATCTAGTATCTCCAACTCACCTGCTTACAACATGTATCTAGTATCTCCAACTCACCTGCTTACAATACGCATCTAGTATCTCCAACTCACCTTCATACAGCATGTATCTAGTATCTCCAACTCACCTGCTTACAGCATGTATCCAGTATCTCCAACTCAATGCTGACATCTTCTTGTCTAATAGTAGAGCGATAGAGTAGATCTGGAAAATGAAGGAAAGAACGTATCCTACTAACTAGCTTCTCTACAAGCATCGTTTGGCCAGAACCGTCCGTTCATAAATACCTGTCCACACACCCGGTATCAGACATTCGTACATTCAGCGCCCCCAATACTGTTGAAGACAGTCACCAATCTCCCTTCATCTGGACACCCGTACACTTCGCCCTTATCGACTGGTTCATCTACAAACACACGACGCGTTTATCTATCGTCCATCCTAACATCGATTCATCAGTTAATGATTCATCTCATATGCACCAGTTGCCTTGCGAATAAGCCCTACCATGCATTTATATTTAGAGCTTTCCCACTAATTTGGGTGTGACTGACAAGTAAATATATGTTGCCATTAAGCTGTAAGAAAAGTATTAATTATAATGATGACACAATTTTTAAAGAAAAATAATAATGCTGTAAGAATTTAGATCATAATAATGACTGCCTATTCAAGTGACCCAATGACTGCCTATTCAAGTGACCTACTGAGTGATTATTCATGTGACCTAATGAGTGACTCTTCAAGTGACCTACTGATTGACTATTCAAGTGACCTACTGATTGACTATTCAAGTGACCTACTGATTGACTATTCAAGTGACCTACTGATTGACTATTTAAGTGACCTACCGATATCTGAGCTGTACTCGCCAATAAATCGTCTTGTAAGGAACCTGACTGTGACAGCTGAAACACGGAGAAGATCAGATTTAATATCAGTCATTGGCACCCGACTTAATAGTGGAACTAATCTATTAAGAAACTTGTTTTTTTGTTTTTTTGTTAGTAATTTCTACATTAGACAGAAAAAAATAAAATAAAACACATCCACGATTATGTGTCATGGAGTCTAAACATTATGATCTCTATAGTTATAAGATAAGTTATCATTAAAATTAATTTTCAATTTTGTTGACAAGAGGTTGGGGATATCCAGGGATATCAGGGTGCATCGGTGACACCAACATTCCATCGTCAGCTATTTCCTTACCATAAAATAAAACACGCCCCCCCACTCTATTATCACTTCCTGTCTAGGTACGCCCAGGAGTTACCATACAATGTGAACCGAATCCCATACACCGACTGTGGTTGGTTGTGATTGGTGTCAGGATCCCATTTCCGTTTGACGTTCAGTGCTGGCAATCAAACGGTTGTTTATAGTTCTGTCGCCATTGTCTTCCTTCACAACACACAGACACAGCCATTACTGGTTCACACTTCACTACACACAGACACAGCCATGACTGGTTCACACCTCACAACACACAGACACAGCCATGCCTGGTTCAGACTTCACTGCACACAGACACAGCCATGACTGGTTCACACTTCGCTGCACACAGAAAAAGCCATGACTGGTTTACACCTCACTGCACACAGACACAGCCATGACTGGTTCACACCTCACTACACACAAACACAGCCATTACTGGTTCATACCTCACTACACACAGACACAGCCATGACTGGTTCACACGTCGCTGCACACAGACACAGCCATGACTGGTTCACACTTCGCTGCACACAGACACAGCCATGACTGGTTCACACCTCACTACACACAGACACAGCCATGACTCGTTCACACTTCGCTGCACACAGACACAGACATGACTGGTTCACACTTCACTGCACACAGACACAGCCATAACTGGTTCACACTTCGCTGCACACAGACACAGCCATGACTGGTTCACACTTCACGACACACAGACACAGCCATGACTGATTGTTAATTAATATCAATAACCAACGTTCAATGAAAGCAATGACGACGTTTTCTCCTTTGTTGCAACTGACAGTTTACAAAAACATTGTTCACTAAACATTCTTCACGGCTCGACCACTTGTCCTCAGGTCACTCTCATCTCCACTGACTAACTAGTTTGTACCTTCTCACTTCAATGATCTCCCATTTCTTATTTTGCTAACTTGATTTCAGTCTCTCCCCTTATTATCACTAAATATCATAGATATGCATAATTCCAAATGTAATACATATAAGTATTTTCAAACATATTATAAATAGATAGCGTGCTCATTAAAAAAAAATAACAAAATGACACAAATTAACGTACGATCTTGTCATATATAAATAAGCATCCATTAAATAAAACATTTAGTATGCATGAAGTAATACATTTAATTTATATGGTACATTGAATAATACATTTAGTAAGCATGAAATATATATGGCATCCTTCCGTCTCCGTGAGACGATGGAGTAGCTATATAGTTCTTCACTTTAACGAGTGGCTCACTAGGCCAATCCTAGAATGGCAATCACGGCCGCATCTCTCGCAGGAGAATGTTGAATCCCGGTAAATTCTTGATTTCCGAATTGTTCTTTTTTATTCGAGAGCCTCGTTTCGAGTATCTTCTGCCATTTTTACTCCTTCAAACACTGCTGTTCGCCAGTTGGAGCTATGTTCGGCAATGAACTCCCATTCGTTTGTTTCAATATTGGCTTCCCTCATGCTTCGTTTGCAAACGTCATTAAATCTCAGGCGCGTCGTCCAAAATGTCTTGTCCCCTCTGCCAACTCTCCATACAGCAGTATCTTTGGGATACGTCCTTCCTCCATTCTCCGTACATGACCTAACCAGCATAGGCGTCTCTTGATAAGAAAGGAGAATAGGCTAAACATGTGTGCAGGTTCCAAAACCTCCACGATAGGCACCCTGTCCTGCCAACGAATGCGCAAAATGCGACGCAGACATCTTTGATGGAAGCTGTTGAGTTTCCGCTCCTGACTGGTGTATGTGGTCCACACGTCGCTACCATATAGGAGCGTGCTAAGCACGCATGCCTGATAGACACTCATTTTTGTTTTATCATTTGGATTGAGATTATTCCACACCCGCTTATTCAGTTTAGCCATAGTTGCTGCTGCTTTTGCAATCCTGATATTCATCTCTTCATCAACGGAGAGAGAACTAGAAATATTGGATCCCATATATATAAAATGATCAACAACTGAAAGATTATGACCCTCAATAGATATGGCTGGAGGTGACGGTGCTTCTTGCATCATTACATGAGTTTTCTGTAGACTAATCGAAAGTCCAAACTCTTTACAAGCATGTTATAGGCGATTAACCAGCCCTGCAGACCTTCTTCTGTGTGAAATGTTAAGGTGGCATCGTCAGCAAACAGCAGTTCACGAATCAGCACCTTTTTTACTTTGGTGTTTGCATGAAGGCGGGTGATATTGAACAGTCTTCCATCAGATCTTGTATGGAGGTTCACTCCATTTTCACAGTCACTGAAAGCAAATTGAAGGAGCATCGAAAAGAAAATTGAAAATAGCGTTGGTGCCAGTACACAACCCTGTTTTACTCCGCTGCTAACTGGGATGACTCAGAGACAGTGCCATCGAAAGTTACTGTGCTGTGCATGTTTTTGTGAAGTGACTGTATTATTGTGAGCAGTCATGGGGGACAACCTATTCTTTGCAAGATACTGAAAAGCCCTCTTCGACCTATCAGGTCAAATGCCTTGGTCAGGTCTATGAAGGCAATATAAAGAGGCATATGCTTTTCGCGACATTTCTCCTGCATTTGGCATAGCGAAAATATCATGTCTATTGTTGAGCGCCCACTCCTGAAGCCACACTGAGACTCTGGGTAGATGCGGTTCGCCAGACTCTGCAATCGTTTAAGGGCAACACGGGGAAAATGAAATAATTCATTCAATATATATGATACATTGAATAATACATTTAATATGTATGAAATAATACATTCAAAATACATTGAATAATACATTTATTATGTATGAAATAATACATTCAAAATACATTGAATAATACATTTATTATGTATGAAATAATACATTCGAGTTTGAAGTGGTCGAGATTGAAGTGGTCGAGATTGAAATTGAAGTGGTCGAGATTGAAATTGAAGTGGTCGAGATTGAACTTTGAAGTGGTCGAGAATGAAAAGGTCGAGATTGAAGTGATCGAAATTGAAGTGGTCGAGATTGAAGTGGTCGACTTGAATGACTTGATTCATGACTGATTGAAGATTTTTTCGGCAAAGATTTCAAGGGAGAGTTTCTCTGTGAACCATGCAGTGAGAAAATCAACACGCTGGGATTTTCTCTACGCATTATTTGACCTTAAAAATATACAGAGCTGTGCAGAATTGAAATACACTTTAACTTGATATGAATAGTTACTGCCAAATCGAAAATACGGCTCCCCTCTCAATTTTTCTCGTTGTCTCTCCCCCCAACCCTACCCACCATCATGTGAACTACATTCACAATTAACACCAAGCAGAAAATGATTTTTAAAAGTGCATTACATTTTTTAAAGTTTCATTTTTTTTCTCCATTAAAACAAGAGCAAAAGTTCGCAATTTTACTTATTTTTCAAGGCTCTCGGTAACACATCTTCGAAAATATTTTGGCAGACATGTTGATAATCACCGATGTACAATAAAGTCGTTTATCCTATTCGAAAATACGAACTGGTATCGGGTTCTGGAGTGGTATCGGGCTGTTGACTGGTATCGGGTTCTGGACTAGTATCGGTTTCTGGACTGGTATCGAGTTGTTGACTCGTATCGGGTTGTTGATCCCTTCGCTTCCGCGAATGTAAAGGGCACATGTTTGTGCATGAATGCTTACATGCAATTTCAATGAAACCAAAATGCTACGTAAGATAGATCAAAAGATGAATTTAATGATTGCAATTAACAGGACACCCTACACATGCGTTGACATCGGAGACTTAAACACTAGCAGTACGGAATGTTCAAAGGTACACACGACTCACCAGCGCAGTCGCAAACCGTCAAGATTCTCACTCTTTAATGGATAGTTGAACACTGACCATTTGTTAGTCACCATTCTTTGACGTCTCGTCTAAAACCTTCGTCAGTAAAATCAAAACTAAACGAATTTAAATTTGATTTTTCACAAAAACCCTAGAGCTTAAGTAAAAAGGGACAGACGTAAAAAGTCTGTATGTGTGTGTGTGGGGAGGGGGGGGGGCACAAGCCCCTCTCAACAACGAAGAAGAGAAGAACAGATATGAAATGGGTGGAGGTTATGCATATAACAAACAGGAGACGACATTGCAGCTGTTTCAATTTGTGACTTTGACAAGTACCATCTGGAGTCAACGAACGCAATCTTTTAATACGTTTGTTTTCCATATAAATCAATTAGGGTTTACCCTTAACATACAACATACCAGCAACTGATGGACGTTATTTCACTGTCATCTCATTATAATTGTCATTGGTGCAATGTTTCCAAGCGGCAAAAAGTTCTAGACTCGAATAGGTCATCAAGAACATGAACATTACAAAAGTCATAATTTTATTGCTTTTATTTGGGAAATGTTTCATCCTTCAATTAGATTTACTTCAACAATCTCCGAAAGAACTGCCCATTAGACTGGACAAAATCTGGACATCATCAAAGTGAGTAAAACATAATATTATCGACGTCCATTCAACGGATAGTCAAACACTTTCTGCTGAAAATCTTTGGGCAACCCTCATTTGGTACAACTCGGTTGCTATTCTATAGCTGAGAAGGCCACAAGGAGCTTTTGTTCAATGACCAACTACAGCAGAGATTTCAACTCATGGTCAAGGGACGCGTGCTGGTTTGTACGAGCACTTCCCGTGGTCTGTGAATCGGTTGGCTTCATAAATTGTATTAAAAAATTGTATGAGTAGGTGAAGCAAAAAGCGATTTTTGTTGTTGTTGTGATGTTGATATTGTGCTCATGTTAACTTTGATCTACCTGGAATTAGCAATACCTGTGGCGATACCTCTGGCAATACCTGTGGTGATATCTGAGTCGATACCTGTGGTGATACCGGTGGCGAAACATGTGGTGTAGCTGAGGTAATTTCGAATAGTCAAGAAACAGAAGAGCATATCACAGAACTAATTAAAGACTCCTGTTCCACGACAGCTCCATACGGCGTAATGCAGGTTGTAAGTGAAAGGAGATAATGGATGACGCCGTAAGGAGAGAAGAGAGCACATTACCGTTTCAATGGACCAATCAATTGGTCAGGAATTGAATTGAGGTGGGGGGGGGGTGCCGCGGCAACGTTGCGAAATAAGAAAATGAGATAAATAACGCGAATTAAATCGTGATGGATGTGTTGGCCAAAAGCCTTCTTCGGCAAGCAACAACTGATGACGAGTAAGTCTAAAACATAAATATACAAATAGTAAGATTAACCATCTCTTACTCTTACCGGTTCTAACTGAACAAGAAGGAGTGACGTGGTAAGATATGCACCGGGCAGGTAAGAGATGGGCGTGGTAAAATAAAATGCAGGTAATAACACAAGAGAGATGAGGTCAGAAAAAGATAGAGTTGGTGAAGAGATATCAGACACGTGACAATGAAGGAAAGGAGAATACGATTTTAAAACGACGAGTTGAATCTTCGTAATTTTTGGTGTGGGGCGAGGATGGGGGAGGGGGGTTCACAAAGAAATAGCCCGGGGTGACCTAATGGACTACCGCAGCTACGTGACCTAATGGAATACCACAGCTACGTGACCTAATGGACTACCGCAGCTACCTAACCTAATGGACTACCGCAGCTACGTGACCTAATGGACTACCGCAGCTATGTGACCTAATGGACTACCTCAGCTACCTGACCTAATGGACTACCACAGCTATGAGACCTAATGGACTACTGTAGCTATGTGACCTAATGGACTACCGTAGCTACGTGACCTAGTGGACTACCGCAGCTACCTGACCTAATGGACTACTGTAGCTACGTGACCCAATGGACTACATTCCATATAAATCAATGGACTACCGTAGGTACGTGACCTAATGGACTACCGCAGCTACCTGACCTAATGGACTACCGCAGCTACCTGATCTAATGGACTACCACATCTATGAGACCTAATGGACTACTGTAGCTATGTGACCTAATGGACTACCGTAGCTACGTGACCTAGTGGACTACCGCAGCTACGTGACTTAATAGACTACCGCAGCTACATGACCTAATGGACTACCGCAGCTACGTGAACTAATGGACTACCGCAGCTACGTGACCTAATGGACTACCGTAGCTACCTGACCTAATGGACCACTGTAGCTATGTGACCTAATGGACTACTCTAGCTATGTGACCTAATTGACTACCGTAGCTACGTGACCCAATGGACTACCTATCTATATAAACCAATGGACTACCGTAGCTACGTGACCCAATGGACTACCTGTCTATATAAACCAATGGACTACCGTAGCTACGTGAACCAATGGACTACCGTAGCTACGTGACCCAATGGACTACCTATCTATATAAACCAATGGACTACCGTAGCTACGTGACCCAATGGACTACCTATCTATATAAACCAATGGACTACCTTAGCTATTTAAATTTATCGACTTATTTTGAAACGACGGATTAAACGCCATGTGGGCTGGCGACATAGTTGACCTCTCTTGTGCGTTGACCTCCCTTGTCCGTTGTTATGGATGCACGAATCGGCACGCAACAGTTGGGTGGGCTAATTGACACCCTAATGAATAATTCATGGCCTTGACTTCAGTGGGGGTGAATGTGAGCCAAACCACCGATAGTCAGGTCACCGTCCTGGGACCCCGGGCCAGACAACAAGTCATTCAAAGTTTTTACGAGTAAAAAATTAACACGTGGGCTAGGCGACATCAGCGGTGATCCACCACAGCGTGGTGCTGACAAGGGCAGTGTTGACAAACAATTATTTATTGTAAATGAAAAAGCGCGTTTGCGGACGTGTGTGTATGTGTGTGTGTGTGTGTGTGTGTGTGTGTTACAGTTATAGTCAGTCTAGATTTTTCCAGGTGTTCTCAATCTTTCAAGAGTGCTACATCTATCAGGGTTGCTACATCTATCAGGTGCGCTAAATCTTACACGAGTGCTAGATTTATCAGGGTTGCTATCTATCTGGTGTGTTGAATGTAGAAAGAGTACTACATCTATCAGGGTTACTAATCTATGAGGTGTGCTAAATCGTTCAAGTGTTTCTACATTTATCTGGTGTGCTAAACCTTTTCAGAGTGTTAATCTATCAGGGTTGCTACATTTATCGGGAGTTCTAAATCTGCCAGGGGTCTGCTTTGCTCCACCACCCATTCAGATTGATTTAGAATGTGGCGGTGTTTCAAGTAAGATTCCCCCCTCCCTCCCTCCCCCTATTTAAATGACGATAAATAACTGTTAAAATGTCCGATTCTGTATCAAGTATTGATTCTTCATTATATCACTTTGAGTGGAAAAAAAAAAAAAATTCTGATGCTTTTTAAATATAAAAAAAATTCCATCAAATATTTGATTCAACAAAGAGTTTTTTGTTGTTGTTGGTTTTTTTTTTTTTTTAAATCGGCTGAAAGGATTACGGTATAATTAGCAGGAAACCTAACAATGACATTCGTTAAATACTGTCCCGAATAAACTTGTTTAATTATGTATGTGAACTGCTGGGACATGTCTGGTCTAGATGTGGGATGCGCAACTAAGCAGCTATTAAACATCATTTATTTTGGATTTTTTTCAAGCGTTTCTTTTTTTCTTAACTGGAGCCACAATGAATGAACATTTACTAACGTTTCGCTAATATTTTATTGACGTAAACTCTTTTAAAAAAAAAATCTCTCAAAACTCCTTCAGTATACTATAGAAAATATCATTCCCAAATCTCTTTAAAATATACCTACCGAATTCCTTCAAATCTTATTCGAAAATATTATTCGAAATCTCCCGACAAATATGTCTCCAAACAACAATTTATCATTAGGCATTGAGCTCTTAGAAAAAAAAAAACCTTTTAAAAAAATCATGAAAAATCCCCCTCCACTACCTGCTCCCACTCTGCCCAGAATTGTTGTATTCTTCCACAAGACTCAGGGGATCCATGCACCCACCAGAGAAACCAACAGCATCTCGCTGGTTCCTTAAGAAAAAACCACCAAAAAAACTCCACAAATTGAAACAACCGTTCTTTATAAAACCTACTCCAGAAATTTTGTTTGATCAAACATCATCTAAATTATTCTTTCTTTTCAGTACCGTGAAACAAACAGCTCAGCTCTTATTAGTGCACTGCTTAATTCACAGCTGTCGGTGCAGCACCCGAGTACAGGTTATGTGTTACGTACCGTCATATGCAGCACCCGAGTGCAGGTTATGTGTTACGTACCGTCATATGCAGCACCCGAGTGCAGGTTATGTGTTACGTACCGTCATATGCAGCACCCGAGTGCAGGTTGTGTTAAGTACCGTCATATGGTTTTTGCAAATTTAATATTTTTTTACAGATTTGGATCGTTCTTTGAACAATACGAAACAAAGGGGATGAAAACCGGTAAAGAAAGAACAAACGACAACAAAGCTAGTGATTTTGACAACATTCAATTTAATTATACTGTAAAATTGATATAAAAAGAACACAATGAAATATACAGAAATAAAAACTATATTGACTTGCAGCACAACGAGTGAAAACGTGAAATCCTCGAAAGATACAATTATTAATACATACATATACAAAGAGTACAACCATGTAAGGCTCCTATACGTATATTAACTCTAGGAAATTTAGCATAAATCTCTCCCGGTTTGGAAAGCTGCTAACTTATTTATAGGGAGGTAGTTAGAGCCCTCCAGAGAAGAAATTCTAGAAACTGCATTACCCAATGGCAAATTTTATAACAAAATGGAACGTGGAAAAAAAATACCTTATACCAATCAAGGGAGGGGTGGGTAATGCTAGAGAGCTACACATTTCAATAAGTGACGTCAATATCAAAATAAAACAAAAAAAAAATAAATGGGGAGATAAGTGGTGGACGCTGCAGCGTCACGTTGAGGCAAAAAATTAGGTAAAACACAGGCTACAACACAATGAGTACAGTATATGAAATTAGGACCTGAGTACTGGACCTGATGACACTACCCGATTATACGACCTAAGTAAAGGAATTGAGTAGAAGACCTGACTATAGGACCTTATTACAGTGTACTAATTTTATAATCAAGAGCAGGAGTCTCTTTGTTCGATTGTTGACAGCGAAGGGGGCAACCACCCCAGGTGCCGGCCTCAGGGTAAGACAAAATATTAAATTATGCTAATATACAGAGCATAAATATATATCATCTAATGACGAAACGGGGGGTGGGTGGGGGTTGGGGGTTCCCATTTTCAGACTTTGTCCCGGGTGCGGATTTTCCTAGATATTCCCCTATTCAAAATTCTACGAACCACACCGTTTACTGACACAAACAACGTTGGTTGTTCATCCATCTCAAGACTCACAACAATCACTCATTCCACCCACCTGTTTTGCCAACCTTCGCATCTCCAAGTATAACTATCCTTATGGCCGACATCTCACGTCCCCAGAGTGATATCACCAGGGACTTGATTTACTGACACCCTGGGTTGCATCCACGCTAGACCTCAAATTTCTGACTTGGAATTGAACTGGGAAAAATCTGGTGAAAAAAAAAGCTTTTATTTAAAAAATAATACGATTAGCATTTTTCATTTGTTTGCTTAAAACAAGTATTAATGTTGAATCTCGTGCTGTCACTGTGTCAAATCATGTTGACTTTTTCAGCAGTGGTAACATGAACGTAACGGTAAGGATTTGATAATGTTAGCTAACTGTGAGATGTTGACAGAAGCTCACGTAGATTGTAAGCTTAGAGTTGCGTTAACTTTCCGGGGGGGGGGGGACTAACATGTAATTATCGTTAGGGAATGCGACCATGAATATGACATTACATCGAATGTGACACTGAAGATGACAGTTATTGTGACAGTACATGTGACAATGACTATGAAAATTGAATGGAACAGTGAATGTGACAATGAAAGTGGCGGTGAATGTGACTATAAACGTCAATGTGAATGTGATATTAAATGAACTTGTCAATGAGCTTTTCCCGGGTGGTCAAGCGGTATGCACTGAGTCGATACAAAAAGCTTGTGGTGTGGACTTTAATACCCCCCCAAAGCTAGACAAGCAAATTCTTCACCGGGTGAGACACAAGCAAAATCTTCACCGGGTGAGACACAAGCAAAATCTTCATCGGGTGAGACACAAGCAAAATCTTCACCGGGTGAGACACAAGCAAATTCTTCATCGGGTGAGACACAAGCAAAATCTTCACCGGGTGAGACACAAGCAAAATCTTCATCGGGTGAGACACAAGCAAAATCTTCACCGGGTGAGACACAAGCAAATTCTTCAGCGGGTGAGACACAAGCAAAATCTTCACCAGATAAGACAAAACTGTGAATTGAAACTCGGAGACACAATGAACAAGGCCCACGCTAATGGTGCCCAGCTGTATCATCTACATATGATGTTCCATGGGGCTATCCGTGTGCGTGGAGAGAGGCGATTGGCTGTCCATAGCGAACCAACTTATCCTCCTGAAAGAAAAATCCCAGGCCATGTGATTTCGTCCTGAACCATCAAAAGTCTACTCCATCATCACCTAGTGGTGGACGGATGCCAGGGAAAGAAAAGAGATTATATATTTAAATGGAAGGCGCATGCATTCTTACCTATTTTAAGACTCACTAATACCCTTTATAAGAGAAAAATAAATGCATGTATCATTGCAAAATAACGGCTCCCTTGCGTGAGAGCTGCTCTAGTATGACTTTGATCCTTAAACGAAAGAAACAGACAATCATCGATATACCGGTAGTTTTAGGTAACTACACACTCGATATAAGGGTAATTTTAGGTAACTACACATGCGATATAAGGGTAATTTTAGGTAACTACACACGCGATATAAGGGTAATTTTAGGTAACTACACACGCGATATAAGGATAATTTTAGGTAACTACACACGCGATATAAGGGTAATTTTAGGTAACTACACACGCGATATAAGGGTAATTTTAGGTAACTACACACGCGATATAAGGATAATTTTAGGTAACTACACATGCGATATAAGGGTAATTTTAGGTAATTACACATGTGATATAAGGATAATTTTAGGTAACTACACATGCGATATAAGGGTAATTTTAGGTAACTACACACGCGATATAAGGGTAATTTTAGGTAACTACACACGCGATATAAGGGTAATTTTAGGTAACTACACACTCGATATAAGGGTAATTTTAGGTAACTATACATTCGATAGATCGGTAGTTTATGTAATCAAAAACAAGACTGGAGTGTAATGTCATGAACAATATTCATTGCTTTGTTACTATTGATTTAATTTCTTGGATTCCAATGACACGACGAAGAGCCATGTAAGGGAACAGTTTCAAAAGTTATTTATTTACAGCATTTGCTTCAAAGAGAGGTCTCTTGTTTAGGAAGTCTAATTACAAACTGAAAAATACCATTTACAACTAGTAATTAATTATTTACAACACGTAAACATTGACACAAATAATCCAATTATAAGACGGTGGCCACACACGATTAAAGTCTCAAAACAATTTGTGTAGGTCAACAGAATAGTCAGGATTTAATTAAATGACAAAACTCCAAGAGTACGTGTGGCCAATGCAGTGTGTGTATGTGTGTGTGTATGTGTGTATGTATGTGTGGGTGTTTGTGTGGGTGAGGTGGGAGGAAGAGGTCAGTGAACCGTAGTAAATGACCCCAAAATGGTTGAAAATGAAAATCTTGGGGATACTTATAGCGCAATAATCACCAATTATATTAAAAGCGAGTTCCTTTTTTTTTTTTTTTTCCCCCTACCAACACAGAATCTGACCAGGGTAAAACTAGGCCACCTGGAGACTTTATGGGTATGAAGGGGGCGGTTAAAAGGGCTGGCCCTCCACGGGTGGAACTAACCATAGCTACGTTATTACTGCAGCTAGCGTACCCGTTTTTTGTGAGTCTTGTGTACCTCATTTCTGTCCAGTTATCCATTGACCTTATGCTCGGTGGCATCACTAAGGGGTTGGTGTACCAAGGTGCGGGAAAAATCATGGCGTCACCACCTCCACGGACCACCTCAAAGGGGGTCTGATGCTCTAGTGGCACTCAACTGGTGTGACACCAATGTGCCGTGGTACCTCCCCCCCCGCGCCCCCCCCCCCCGTAATGTGGGAACCTGCTCTGGCAGCATCCTGGACTTGCTTTTTTAACATAGGTCTATAGCGCAGCTGCTAACTTGGCGTCACCACCGCCACGGACCGCCTCAAAGGGGGTCTGATGCTCTAGTGGCACTCAACTGGTGTGACACCAATGTGCCGTGGTACCTCCCCCCCCGCGCCCCCCCCCCGTAATGTGGGAACCTGCTCTGGCAGCATCCTGGACTTGCTTTTTTAACATAGGTCTATAGCGCAGCTGCTAACTCTCAAAAGGGGCCAAGAGGTACACAGGCTTTCGAAATTGTATACAAGGAGGTCGTCCCTGGTTGCTGCCTTCTGCAAGAATCTATCTGTATAAACAATGATTCTCCTCAATAATAAATAAATAAACAAATATATATATATACGAAATTGCTCGCCAAACTTGAATCGTTATTTTAGTTTTAAGAAAGGAGGCTGCGCAAATTAAACATTAATTAATCGATTAATCGTTAATTTTTTTTTAATACGATTAAATTTTGGATTAACGATTAATCAGATTTCATATTTTTTCCGCCCATCACTAACAAATGTACAGGGAGTCATGATGCATTAATGAGAGCAAACAATGTAACATGACGGCAGAGAGTAATTGAGATATTAGATATAAGCCCATATCAGGGCGTTTGCATACATATTTTGGAGTTGAACTGTCTGTCGGCAGAAATATAGAACATGTTGATATTTGTTGCATCCATTGGGATAAGTCATTCGCATATCATAGCTTTAACACATGTCGTGGATCTAAAACATGTCGTGGATCTAAAACATATCATGGATCAAACACATCGCTTACTTATCATCTTCAATACTAACACCCGCTACGTGTCAGAAAATTCAGCTTGCAAAGTCTGCTTCATCTAGTTGATAGCGGCATCGTCATCGACTTCTAAACAGACTGAACTGAGTCAGTTTTGTCTCCAGACTGATCGTCCGGTGCGTGCTACGGTGCAGCGTGACATTAACATATTGCTTGCAACTTGGATGGCCGGTAGTGGCAGACCGAGAGTGGCAGAGCGGCAGCGGCAGACCGACAGAGGCAGACCGATTGTGGCACGGCAACAGTGGCAGACCAACAGTGGCAGAGCAAGAGTCGCAGACCAATTGTGGCAGACCGACAGTGGCAGAGCAACAGTGGCAGGGCGACAGTGGCAGACCAACTGTGGAAGACCAACTGTGGCAGACCAACTGTGGAAGACCAACTGTGGAAGACCAACTGTGGCACAGCAGCAGTGGCAGACCAACAGTGGCAGACCAATTGTGGCAGACCGACAGTGGCAGAGCAACAGTGGCAGACAAACTGTGGCAGAGTGACAGTGTCGTAGTTGGTCATCTGATGACATTTAAACGAGAAAAGCTTGTGCTATTTGGTTGATTAAATATCAATTTGTTTCCATATCTGTAACTACAGAAGTTGTTTGATTTAATCGAAAGTCACAATTAATTAATGTGGGGGCGGCCATGAACTCAATGTTTTTTGCAAATCACTCATTTGATATCACCCTCAATGGGAGCGTACATCAGTAATGCAAGGCAGTTGTGAGTTGTGAGAACTCATATTTCCATGACTAAATAATCAGTATCACAACAGTGTTTGTCACATTACATCAACTTGCATATGATCAGCACAAAGTAAAGGAAAACTTTTTTTTAAAAAAAGGACACAACAAAACAAATAGAGTGTCGGCAGGAAGTCTTCTTTCACGAACAAACAACGATATGAACTATACATAAAATAAAAATAAACACTTATATCAGTGTAGTATCCGAGAGGACAGCAAGAGGAATGTGATAGAACACAAGTCGGTGATAGGTTTAATACAGGAAAAGTGGGGATGGAAGAGAGTAAAAAAGGTCCACAGCGATTTGTCGTAGCAAGGAAGAGTCACGACCAACCGCAACGATCCTATCCACACGCATTGGATTAATTTATTAATAAACATTAATAAAAGCACCCCTGGATGGTTAACCCCCCCCCCCCCTAGGTATGTCAGCTTACACTTTTTGCTCGCCTCTAAAATATATTATCAATCATTAGAAATGCCCCATCCCCTTTAACTACGCGATGCATAACATTTTACATTTATATATATTTACAATGACTGTAAAACATATAAATCCCATAGTTCAACACATTTTCCCATACATTTAAAGAATATGGTTAATTAAAAACATAACAATTTTCAAATCTGTAACATAAAAGTGTTTTGAGAACGTGATATAAATATGTAAGTTCCCCCACCCAATCATCTTCACCCTTGG